GACACCGGGGTTACACCCCTACTCTTTTCGAGAAGCACCCTGGGATTTTTAATGACCACAGAGAGTCATTAAAATCACAACACATTTAGCCAACGTGAAAGGTTGGGTTTTTAAAAGGTCTAAAAACAGGCAGGAGGCATTCTGCTTTCTTAAATCGGTCGTCATGTGGGATGAAATCCATGGGTGTAATTTTCAAAAGCAAAAAAAAGGATTTCCCATCTTGGGGCCATCCTAAACTGATCTAACTTGATCTAACCTGCTGCTAAAGTCACATATAAAAATTATTTTTGTGCTAAAGGAATGATGCTACATTGTAAATGTATTTATTCATAGTTCTATAGTGTGGTGAAAGGATGAATAGTGGATAAGAGCAGTTCTAAGTCTAATTATATTTGGCATGGACTTAGTGACAAGTAAAGGTTCCGTCCACTCTGAAATGTAAAAAAGAGGAAATGCAAGTCTTTGGAAGGATGCTGAACAGCCAAAACTTTGTTTCTAGTTTTCAGTGTGGAACTAATCTTTACTTGGTTCTTTGCAACCAGCGCTTGCTGACACAGCTCCTAACTCGAGGCTTGTTACTCAGTCAATGCAATGAAAAAATACTGCCTCGCTAGCTACTGAAAAAAACACAGACTATATGCTAGAAATATGAAAAGCTGGATATAGATGCATATTTTTCCAATACATGTCAGACTTCTCCATGAGAAAGGCACATTTTATATGTATTGTTTATGAGATCTGTGTGGAGGATCTGCATATTAAAAGGGCTTTAAAATGCTTCCTATCTTGTTTGATTGTACTTGTATGGTACTCGATTGTAGCTATTCTTGTTATTATGCTGCTTTAACTTAAAAAGCTAATAAGTGCATTGTACTTATTGCAGTAGGTTAACCAAACTTCAATCAGTGTGTCAAAGTAAACATAATTAAATCATATTGTAAAGTTTGCCAGTTTCATTTGGCCTAAAAATGGCAGGACCAAACAGTGTGTGTGTACACTGTATTAGGAACTAGTAATGCGTTTAATATGAACCTTACTTTTATGGTAGCTTATTATTTCTCCAACTTTTGTCTGTCCAACTGTAATGGATTTTTCCAAGTGTATTTACTAAGAAAGAAAAATGTAAATTTGTCTAGTTAAAGTAATGTTTGAAGATTTAAAACTACACATCCACAGCTGAAGTGGGTTTCTGTCTGCATGGGACTAGCTTTTTCTTCTTCAAAACAATTCTTGATAATAGGGAGAATGATAAATTATCTAACTCAGCCTTTCTCTGTGCTCAAGAACTACAAATAACATGTTGGCTTATGTAGCTCTTGATAGAGAAATTCAATTTCCAAATGCTTGGAAGGCAAAAAAAGGCAAGATATTGTTCAATAATTAGGGTTAATTTGTGCTAACAAGCTTTTATTATTTGTAAATGCTTCAAACCATAACCAGTGAACTACAAAATAGAATAGTTTTTTTACCATAAAACTTGTCCTGCCCCCCATGCATACCCAGAGGTGAGTGGTTCTCAACTCTGGATCTCTCTCCAGACTGCACAGGGGCCAGAAGAGAGTTCACATGAAAGTGGAAGACATACAGTGCAATAAAGACTTGTACACGGAAGCCTTTCTCCACCCACATGGGCATGAGGAATCTAGATAGTAGAAAGCTCCATATAAATAATGTCAAGTGACACCAGTATTTATATGATGGCAGGGAAATTCATGTGGAGGTTCTAAATCTGATTTAAAACAATTTAAAAAACCAAAACAGTTGTTAATTCAATTGCTTTCCATGTGAACTAGCAGTTGGCACAGATATAGATGCACTGGCAGATACTGTTTTGGAAGGGAATAAGTATGCTCAGCTGTTCATTAAGTAAAGACAGTACTGGATCACTCCTGTGTGTGTCCTGGCCAAGGCAATTAACAGCATATTTTCTCTCAGCTGGCCTGAGAGTCAGACTGAAGGAGGATACCTGGTGAATCTCAGTGACAGCTTGGAGTGTCTCTGTAGGTGTATCACTATCCCTGCTACAGAAATAACTCCAGCTCTGTAGAGGGCATTTTCAAAATACAGAGACAGGAGTATGGATAATTTAGTACAGTAGCAGAATTTATCATAACTGTTTGCCATTTTTGGAAAATGTTATGTTTTTACTCTCCACTTTTCTTAGATTTCTAAACCACCATGCAACTTTAGGATCCTAGTTCCAAAGGCACATGAGGACCAGCCATGAGTCTACATACATTTAATCAACTTCATAACAGCGTTTGACGCTGTTTCTCACAGAAAAACTTTGGCTGCACCTGATCAATCCTTTGACAAAGCTATTATTAGAAGCATAGGGCCAAAGCTCAAAGCTCGCTCGTACATTTTGAATGTGGTTCTGCAGGGCATTAGACAAGGATGTGTAGTCTCGCCTTACTTCTTTAATGTGCTGGTGGAAATGGTGATGAGGTAAGCTTTAGATGCGTATGAAGAAGGCACAGAATTTGGAGGTCAATGGTTTTTTGTTGAAGTACAGGATTTTTAAGATTCGTGCAAGCACTGAGGCACAGATATAGGAATTGGTAGAGTGGGTAGCCAGTGTTGGCAGAGCTCAAAGCCTACTGACTGGTGTGGAGAAGACCAAGGACATGGTGAGATAAGGAGCCACCTGCAACATCAGTTTTCAAGAGGCTCAATTGATTCAGAGCCTCTCCTACCTTGGGTTCACCATCCCGGACGATACACTGTGCACGGAGGAGATCTGATACAGTTCTGGCTAGGCTGGATGTGCCAGCACATCTCTTAGGGGAATACAGAAAGCTCACTGCATATTGATCACAAGGAAAAGTCGATTGCCAAAGGCAGTCATATGGTCAGTGACAACCTACAGATGTGAATGCTGGACAACCAAAGAAGGGAGATGAATGCAGATGAGGGCAGTTGAAATGAAAACAATCAGACAGATGCTGACATGGTTGTTAGGAAAACTATTAAATGGGGTCTTTGATAAATAAGCCTGGTTGACTCACAAATTACAAAAACATGCAAAACTACTGGCGTGTGTTGCTCTGCAAGGAGGCCACATGGGAAAAAGATAATCTAGGACCTTCAGGATGGATAACATCAAAGACTGGGCTGGACTCATGACTCGCGATAGAACAATGAGTTCAATGGAGTATAGGTACTGCTGGAGAAGAACTGTCAATAGCACACCCATCTTCAGATCAAAAAAGGCTGAAAACAAAATACAAAGCTGCATTCGTTTTTTGTTCCGATTACGTTCCACGTTCCAAGTTGCAGTTTGGTGTGAAGGGAAAAAAAAAGCTAGACAAATACCAAAGGACTCAAGGAGTGAGAGGATTAATTCCCTGATAAAAGGAAAATCTTGGCTGATCCTGAAGGAAAAATTAAGGGTATGTATGTGAACAATGTGAATAAGCTGTGAAATGTAACAAGGGTGCTCTTTTGAAGTGCAGTCAGTGGTGAGAACTAAGGATTTAAGCCCTCCAGAGTTGTCCTGTTGCAAAAAACAGTTGACTGTTTCAAAAAGTGAATGCCATTTTATTCATGAATAAACCAAGTCTCACGTTGCAATGCAAGGTCACACAGTACACACAGCAAAAAAGGGAAGGTATCAAGAAACCTGAAAGCTGTTGTAAAGCAGGGGAAGATTGTTTACAATGTAGTCCAGCTTTTGCTTTATTGGTGGATATGTAAACCTATTTGTTGAAACAAAGATTTTGCTGCAGGTGTTCAAGACGTGTTATACTGTATGTAACTATAGCTGTAATGGGGTAAAAATGATGAACAAGCTATTTATTTTTTTGGTGATAGCATGATCTGCCCTTCTGAGAAATGTCTTTAGTGAACCTTAAATGTATATGAAGAATTAAATATTTTCTGTTGTATGAGTCTAGAGTCTAGAGGTACTGTTTTGTGAAAAGAGGACATCATTCAAGGGTGAGTCAGGCCTCAGACGTTACACCAGGTCCCTGCTGTTCCTAGAAAGTGAACTCTGTACCAGTTCTGTTTGTGCCGTGTTTGGAAATCATTTGTTTTCTAATTTGGAATTCTAATTCCACTTAATGTGAACTGCATGTTTATTTCAAATTTCTTATATATCAGTGCGTGGGTGGCATATTACTACAAACAGTATACTGCTTTTTATAGACAAACCCCACAGTCAGTATTGGCACAAAATAAGAGACTAGGTGGCAAGAGAAGTAAGGTTACATGGTACAGTGTTTTTGTCAGTCAACAGATTAAAGGGTTATGGGATGAGTTGAAAACTGTAGCAGTCACATGGGCATTACTCAGTGGTTTCATTCTCAGTGACTTCTCTTCATTTGTACTACGGCAAAACCACTAAAGTATTTTTTTTT